TAAATGAAAAAGAGAGAGATTGGATAATCAAAACAATTTTGAATGACAAGAGCTTAAAAAATTCTCAGAAAATTATATACTTACTTATATCTTTAAAAATTTCTTTATTGCTGTTCAATTACAGTTGTCCCCATTTGTCCCCCATTACTCTCCCCTGCCTTACCCACCCCTACCTCCCACATTCAATCCTCCCCCTGCCTTGTCTTTGTCCATGGGTCCTTTATACACGTTCCTTGACTTGACCCTTTGCTTTTTAACATTAATGTTTTTCCATATTAGATGAAGTTTAAACAACTACATTTAAAATTTGAAATGCATATATTTATTTTCAAGAGTAATTTTTAAAAAATACAAAAGACAAACATGTAATGGTAAGAGTTATTCTTTAAGTTTTAAGACATATCAATACAAATTTCTAGTTCACTACAGCACAACAGGTGCCTAACTTAATGTCATCTCCTGAAATTGTAGAGATGAGAATGGAATCTCTCCAGCTTTTAAGTCGTACTCCAAAAAATGTTTAATTTTAATAGCAGAGGAGTAAGTTTCAACAGAATATGATATAGGCACCAGGTTGTTGAGATAACCAAGACTGTTCTCAAATGCCCAGTTTCGTCTTCTGGAATACTTTTAGAAATTAATCTCCAGAGTCACCTATATGAAACATAGTCCAAATCAAACCTCAAATCTCAATCAACCTGATAGTTTAAAATCAGTTTTTAAAGTCAAACATTTTCCTATTGGTAGTTTTCAGAGGTCTAACTTCACTCTCTATGAGGTTAGCACCTATCATATATTGCTTTTCAGTTAACTTTTGTATGTTCACATTCAATCTTAACACTAGATAGAAAATTTCTTGAGCTTTTACTCACAGGATGCCCAAATGAAACTAATATACCTGGTAGACATTTTGAAAATATATGTATGAGGTCTGTCTGGAAAAAGTCCAGCCATTGTTAATATAAAGAGAACGTTTGCACGACACTGATGTAACCTGGCGGCCAAGGAGAGTGGACTGGAATGTGTGTGTGAACAATGATGACTTCACTGTACTAGTCAATGGGGAGGGGGGAGGAGATGCAGTTGAGTGAGCATGTGTATTGTGTGGCCATCCCATTCAAAATAACTGAGTAAGTAAAGCAACGAATCTGCATCAAATTTTGTGTTAAGTATGAACATTCCTCTGCGATGATTCAGAAGGCCACAGCTATGGGCAATGGGCAACTGGTGATTGGCAGCTTCATCATGACAACACACCCACCTATGCATCACATCTCGTGCAGGGTTTTTTGGCAAAACATCAAATCATTCAGGTGATTCAGCACCCTAAAGCCCAGATTTGGCACCCTGTGACTCTGGCTTTTCCCAAAACTTTAAAAAGTTTTAAAAAGGAAGAGCTTTCAGACTGTCAATGAGATTCAGGAAAATAAAATGAGGCAGCTGAGGGCAACTGGGGGAACTGTGTGAGATCACAAGGTACCTATGTTGAAGGTGGCTGAGGCATATTGTCCTATGTACAATATTTCTTGTATATTCTTCAATAAATGTCTCTATTTTTCATATTACATGGCTGGATACCTTCTGGACAGACCTCATATTAATTGATTATTTAGTGATGCAGAATGGAGTCAGGCCAATTCCTCACTCTGATATCACTAATAGTAGGTTCTCAACTCCAGCTTCTTCAGAGCTAAGGCTCTTTGGCTTTGAAATGGAATGATTACATAGGCTGATCTCTGAGATCACTTACATTCCTAAAACTTCATGCTTTTATGTATCCACTTAAGTTTAAATAAGTACATTCAAATTTTGAAAGGTATGTATTTTCAAGAGTAATTAAAAGAACACAAACATATAATTGGTCAAGTTCTCTCATTAACTTTTTAGATATATCAATAACACGGCTTTGTTCACTACAGTAGAACAGCAGCAACACACACCTGATAACACTGCCCCAAATAAAAATGACAAATCAACCTGTTGTATTTCAAATAGTTGTCCCTCATAGGGACAACTTTGAGACAACTATTTAATATTTTCTATTATCACCTCACAGGATTTATTCAAAGTACTAAAATGACATTTGGTTTTCATTAATAAACTTACATAAAAAGCTGGCAAACATACGTACCACGATATCACTAATAGTTAAATCTTAGGAAGTAAGTTATTCACTGGAACAATTTAAAAATATTTAGGTAAACATTTTTTCTCTTAGGTTTTCTGCAAATATCCAACATTATCCCATAGCTATGAGCTTCAGATTATTACCATCTAGGGGAGAACTGATTTGGTCACTTAATGACAGAAATACAGTGGTTTCCCCTATCCATGTGGTATACATTCTCAAGACCCCCAGTGGGTACCCGAAACTGTGGGTAGCACTGAACCCTATATATACTATTTTTTCCTATACATACATACCTATGATAAAGTTTAGTGGATAAAGTGGGCATAATGATTAACAGTAACTAATAATGAAATAAAAATAACAACAATATGCTGTAATAAAAGTTTGGTGAATGTGGTCTGTCTCTCAAAGTATCTTATTATACTACATGCACCCTTCTTGTGATACCATGAGATGGTACACTGCCTATGTGATGAGATGAAGTGAGGGGAATGACCTAAGTATTGTGACACAGCTTTAGGCTGCTATACGGGTTACTTGAAGACAAGCGCTGTGGCATCACGACAGTCAACCTGATATCCAAGATGGCCACTCCCAGTGAGTGCGCTGAACACGAGGAATGGTTCGTGTTCTGGGCAGGATGGAGTGGGATGGTGCAAAATTCCACAATGCTACTCAGAATAGGACAAATTTAACACTTATCAATTGTTTTTCTTTTTTTTTTTTTTGAAATTTCCCACTTAATATTTTTGGGATGCGGTTGACCGTGAGTAACTGACAAAAAGCAACTGTCGATAAGGTGAGGCTACTGTGTACAGGTCACAGAAGAGTCTGCTATCAATATGAATACTGTACAGGCCAGCACTTGCTGATAAAAATCACTGATATGACTCAATTACCAATCACACTTTTTGTAATACAATTAACACGATTTAGCTTAAATTTGCACAGCTTTAAATTAAAAGGGAAAACGACAACTCATCAGGCACAACTGACTCAACACTTTCTACATTCTTTATATTTTATAATATAGTACAGTTAGTTTCTGCATTTGTACAATTGAAAAAAGATAATTAAAGTTCTACCTCTACAATGGCTTTTTAAAATCTCCATATCACATACTAAAGTGTGTTCATTGATAATTCGTATGATTGTACATCCAACTTTTCTGGAGCTCCTGAAAATTATCCCCAACCACTTATTAGTGAAACATACACCATATAACCTAATCTCATTATTTGAACAAAATGAATGACTAAATCTTCCCAAATCAATTTTGCTTTATCGATACCAAAAAAAAAGAAAAAACTATTTCTTTCATGCTAAATTACAAAGTTAGCCTTAAACACGTTACAAACATAGAAACATTAAAAGATACTGTTTATACAAACTTGAATAAATTATCGGGCATTCCCTCAGGTGCTAAGATGTGATTTACTCCTCGTGATATAACAAATATGACTTGTTATTTGGTCATTCTGAATTTTAAAATCTGAGATGAACCCAACAAAGGCAAATAAATTTTTTTTACACAACAGTCCTGATATACTTACTATATATTGAGAGGGACCAAAGTTTTGCCACTCCAAAATGTGCCTTTTGGGATATAGGCACATTTTAAGCTGGTTATAAAGAAAAAAAGACTCAGAGAGAAAGTTTGACCCTCTTACTTTACCTGACTAAAGGAATTCAGATACAAAAACTTGCTTACTGGAAAAGAGCATCACCTTAGCATCCTAATATAAACTAAAAGTGTCAGACAGGGAGAAATGTAGCAAAGCCTGTTTGTTAGACTTCCCTCTATGTCCCACTGTTTCTGGGTGGCCCAGAAAGAATTTGTTTACCACGTTTGCTCTTTTCATCTACCTGTAAACTGCCTACTTTCTCTTTAAAATCCAAGAACTCTGCCCACTTCTTTATCTAAAATGGCATATAAACCTCAACTGCCCGATGTGTCTTCAGGTTTCATATGTTATGGTACCTGCAAATCTACATCAGTAAAAAGCTTGGAGATTTTCTCCTGTTGATCTGTCTCAAGTGAATTTATTAGCCCAGTTAGAAGAACTTAGAAGGTGGCAGGAAAATTATTTTTTTTGCCCCCACTGTGTATCTGTATAGCCGTACAAAAACTCCATTTTCATGGTTTTTTTTTTTCATTTTGTTTTTTGCTGTTTGATATAAAGTGTGGCCTTCTGCACTTTCAGATCTCAGAAGAAATCCACCGTATTCTGGAAGCTCTTCAACTCCCAGTGACCTTTAAGTTGCAGCAGATTCTTGAATGTCCTAAGAAAAACAAGCCTGCACTGCATTTTTTTCCCTCTAGTTGACAAAGTTGCCAGTTTAGTTTTATCATATTTCCCATTCCTATTCTGAAGAGGGAGGATCTTTAAAACATAGTTTCACATTCAGGATTAACGTCACCTACGAGAGCCAGGTGATAAGGTTGGGTTGCAATAGTGATGGAGGGAAAAGAGCCAATTCTGCCCAAAGCACTACCTGTGGCTCCCAAAGAAGGGGTGGGGGGCGGGAAAGCGAGGGCCGGGATGGTACAAGGTACTTCTTTATTCGAACCATATCTGGGGAAGTGTTTCAGAATGAGTGAGTCCCCCCTCTCTCTACTGAGAAGAGGATCGCAGAGACCGCTTCGCTCCCTCCTCTTTACATGTGGCCCTTCCCGGCCAGCCCTCACGCCTGGAGGGAGGAAGGTAGACCAGGAAAGTAGCTGGTCGCCAGAGCCCCCTCAAGCAACTCCCGATCGTGGCTGCGAGGCCTGGACCATGCCCGCGGCCTCGAGGCACCAACCCAGAGGGGCGCTCAGCGCACCGCGCCGGCCTGTCCCGAGGGTCCCCAGGCCCGGCCCTTGACTTACCGCTCTCCACCTCGTTGCCTTTCTTGGCGGTTGCCGCGTTCCCCATGATTGGGGCAGTAGAAAGAAGGGGTCAGGAAGGGGAATGGGGGCTGGGGCGGTCCCCGCCGCTCCACAGGCAGAAGCAACTCCCGCTTCAGCACAGGTCAGGGTGGTGAGTCCTCCAGGAGCTGATACCCTGAGTACCAGCGGGAACACTGGGCTGGTTCTGAGCGCAGAGCTTCCCCGAACTCCCCAGCCCGGGCGGCGGCACAGATAGCGGCGGTAGCAGCCAAAGGACCGACCGGTGGCCGCAAGCAGACACTCCCCCTTCCCCCGCCCCGCCCTCCTGCGCGCCCCTGAGCAGCGGCGCGCGCCGGCCGGGCCGGTCCCTCTCCGCCGGCGGGCGCGTGTACCGGAAGTGACGCACAGGCCCGGGACGCGGCTAGCCGGCCGCGGAGGGTCGACCCTGCGGAGCTGGACCGGGGAGGCTGGACTGGGTGGTCCGGGGCCCGCCGAGCCGGATGTTGTCGTCTGAGCTGGTGTCCGGCTGCGCGACCCCGAGAGTCTGGAGTCTTCAATGCCCTGAAGCGGCGCCATAGGAAGCCTTGCAGGAACTTGGGTTGCTTTGTGCCCTGCATCACGGTGGCTCCCCCCCACCCCCCGCCAAAGGCCGCCTTCTGCCCACAGCCTCTGCCAGAGGTAACCGCGCTGGGGGGTAGGTCAGTTTCGAGGTGACGTCCCTGGTTCCCGCCTCTGCAGCTGCGGAAGCAATCTCGTTCATAATCGTGATCCGGCGCTTCTCTTCGCCTCGCAGATGCAGGTATTCGCTGAGTCCACCACGTTGTCCTCCCAGTTCTTAGACACAAGCCAGTTCATGTCTCCAGTGCAAGTTTTCATTCGCCCTGGTTTCGCGGATCGCTGTCACAGGTTTTGTAAGACATCTGAGGCGGAGACAAAGGAAAAATTTACAATTTCTCCAGAATGCCTATTGATGTCCTGAGTTGTATGTAGCAGTTTTCTGTGTAGATGTGAAAATAAATGCATTCCCAATTGGTAGTTGCGTTTGTATTAATATACATCTTAGATAACTTAAATTTGCGAATAGCTTTACTTAACGGGTAATTTCTGTGGCACTAGCTTAATTTTTGGTTGCAAGTTTGTTTGAACTGTGCACTTTGAGCATTTATTTTCTCTTTAGTATAAAAAAGATAACTTCCCGCCCTGACCAGCATGACTCCGATGGTTGAGCATCATCCCTAAAAGCCAAAGGTCTCTGGTTGGAATACATCAGGGCTCAAGTATAGGTTGCGGCTTTTCGGTTGGAGCGTATGTTTGAGACAACCTATCCATCAATGTTTCTCTCACACATGATGTTTCTCTCTCCCTTTCTTTTTCCCTCCCGTTCCCTCTCTCTAAAAATACATAATTAAAATATTTTTTTAAAAAGAAAGAAAAAGACTACTCGAGGGACAGAGACCACATAAATTATGTTGTGTCCCCAAGGCAGTAGGTGTTTAATGGATACCTGGTGACTTGAAAGTAAACCGAGGAAATATGTCATCTTTTTATTGTATTTTGTCTATTACCATTTATACCCCTTAATAACTGCCCCTGTCAAATATCACAATGTTGCCCACATCCATAAGTCCTTTTTCCTTTTTGCTCTGTCCACCCCCTAACCCTGCACTAGAACTGTCAGCCAGCTCTTTATCTATGAGTCTGTCTCTATTTTACTTGTTAGTTCAGTTCAATAGATTCCACATATGAGAGAAATAATATGGCATTTGCCTTTCTCTGACTGGCTTGTTTCACTTAGGAAAATGTTGTCCAGATCCATTCATGCTATTGCAGAGAGTAAAATTATCTTCTTTTTTTTATGGCTGATAGTATTCCATTATGTAAATGTCCCACAGTTGTTTTATCCACTCATTTGCTGGTGGACACTTGGGCCGCTTCCATATTTTGTTGATTATAAATAAGGCTGTAATGAACATAGGGCTATTTATGTTCTTTCAAATTAGTGTTGTTTCAGGTTTCTTCAGATAAATTCCCAGAGGTAGAATGGCTAGGTTATAAGGCAGTTCCTTTTTTAATTTTTTGAGGTATCTCCATACTGCTTTCCACAGTGGTTGTACCAGTCTGCAGTCCACCAACAGTACAAAAGGGTTCCCCTTTCCCCACATCCTCGCCAGCACTTGTTTGTTGATTTACTGATGATCACCACTCTGACTCATGTGAAGCAACATCTCATGGTTTTAATTTGCATTTCTCTGATGATTAGTGACATTGAGCATCTTTTCATATGTCTATTATATAGTATCATATCATCTGCAAATAAAGACAGTTTTACTTCTTTCCAATTTGGATACCTTTTACCTCTTATTTTCTGATTGCTATGGCTAGGACTTACAGTACTATCTTCAGTAAGAGGTAAAAACAGACATACCTGTCTTGTCTGAGAGCACCTTATTTCTCCTTCAGTTTTAAATGATAGCCTCCATTTGGGTGAGGCAGCTTTGGTTGTAGGTCCTTGCTTTTCATCATCTTGAATATTTCCATGCCAAACCCTTATGGCCTTAAGTGTTTCTGTTGAAAAGTGAGATGACAGTCTCCCTTGTAGGTAACTAACTGCTTTTCTCTTGCAGCTTTTAAGATTCTCTTTCTATCTTTAGCCTTTATCATTTTAATTATGATGTATCTGGGTGTGGGCTTCTTTGGATTCATCTTGTTTGGGACTCTATGCTTCCTGGTCTTGTGTGACTTTTTTCCTTCTCCAGGATAGGGAATTTTTGGTCATTATTTCTTCAAAAAGGTTCTTGATCCCTTGTTCATTCTTTTCTCCTTCTGGTGTTCCCATAATGTGGGTGTTTGGATGCTGTTGTGCTTCATGTTGTCCCAAAGGTTTCTTAAACTCTTCATTTAAATTTCTTTTTCCTTTTTGCTGCTTTGCTTGGGTGTTTTTTTCTACCTTGTCTTCCAAATCAGTGATTTGATCTTCTGCTTAATCTGACCTACTGTTTATTCCTTTCAGTATATTATTTATTTCAGATATTGCATTCCTTATTTCTGGCTGGTTCTTTTTTGTGGTTTCTGTTGTCTTTTCTTGCTGTTGAGTGTCCTTATAATCATTATTCTAAACTCTGTATGTGATAAATTGCTTACCTCCCTTTCATTTAGTTCTGGAGAATTCTCTTGTTCTTTCATTTGAGGTCTGTTACTTGTCTTCCCATTTTGGCTGCATCTTTGTGTTTGTTTCTATGTATTGGGTAGATCTGCACAGACTCTAGTACAGACCTAAGCCAGATGCTGCCTATGACTGGCTCTGGGCAACCTGTTTGAGCTATCAGCAATCCACTGCATGTGGCTCCTTCTACTGGACTTGAGTGTGTGGAGAAAGGACCAAGTTGCTCACTAAGGCTATTGCCAGCACTGGGCCCTGTGGGGTAGGGTCAGCTAAAGTCTCAGAGCTCCCAGAGATCAGCCTTGGTCTGCAGGCTTTATGCTTGGCTTGTCATTGAAATAGCCTCCAGCTCTACTTCTCCAGGTGTAAGCTCCACAGAGTGGGTGATAAGGATTCCTGCTGGTGGGGCTATTGCTTCCTGTCAGGCCCATGACATTTGGAGAGCAGTGCTCTGCCTGAGAAAGATGGCTCCTGCAATATGGGGAATGACTCAGCACAGGGATTCTGGCAGCTGACCCTTCAATTCTCTCCCCAGACTTAACTAACTTGCCTCTAGTCCACTCTGCCCTACCTCTGCCAGAGCCCACTCTGCCCTACCTCTGCCAGAGCCCAGAGTAGGTGGCTGCAAACAAAATTTTGTGCATTGGCCCTCAAAGAGGCTCCTTGCATCTCGAGCCATCTTTCCCTGATGGGAAAAAAAACCTGCTGCTTTTCTCAACCAGATGTTATTTGGATTCCTTTCTCAGTTCTGGTATTCTACCCTGTGGGGCCCAGCTTGGGGTTGAGACCCCACACTTCTGCGGGGTACACCTGGCTAGCCACTGAACTATCCCACCCCATGGGAACCCAGCCAGCCCTCTCCAGCTTCCACACTTCCTATTAGTCTCACTGTGGTGATGTGGTTTCTTCTCTCTGTCTTTGGTTATAGGGCTTCTCTCCAGCTAATGTTCAGTTGGTTGTTCAGGATGATTCATCTATAATTTAGTTGTAATTCCATATTGGTCCTGGGAGGAGGTTAGTGTACCTTCCACCTACTTCTCTGCCGTCATGGATCCCCCTTAGAATTTTTAAAAAGTCTTTTTCACTACTGACAAAAACAGAATGGTAATAATAGAAGTGTATCAGTAAGCTCTTCCTGCTATTTTTTACTACCAATTCTGTTAAATGAGTTTAACAAGTGTTTATATTATGTATACTGTATTTTAAGTACTATAAAAATTGTAACTCAAGAACTCTATATGTTGCTTTACTATCTACATTTTACTTACAAGCAAACTGAGACACAGAGAAGTTAAGCAACTTAGCCCAGGTTACACAGCTACCATATTTTGCCATATATAATACATACGTTTTTGCCCAAATTTTTGAGGGAAAAATAAGGATGCACATTATACATGGGTATACTAATTCCATACCTATATAAATGTTTTTATTTCTTTTATTTATGCTTATGTGTTAAAAGTGTAACTCTAGAAAACAATAATGATATCTGTATGCAAAATAATACCCTGGCATATGATAATTGGTTTTGTTTCTAAATTAAATAAAAAATGGAATTAAAAATATTAAAATGAAAGAGTTTTTTCCTGAAAGTTTGGGCCAAAAACATGGGTGTGCATTATACATGGCAAAATACGGCATTTGGTGGGAGCTAGATTTGAACTTAGATAGTTGGCCTCCAAAGTCTGACCTTTAACCATCATGCTGATCAGAAGAAACCTGTTGACTCTGTGGTAAATTGCTTTCTCTGCATTTGAAACCCCATTGACTTGAAAAGGCACATGCACAATGAGTTCACTTCTTGGGGAAATTCATTCTTTCTAGGTTTCCATTAAACCCAAGTAACATTAAAATAACAGAATGAAGGATTTGGACTAGACATTGTAAGATTCTGTGTCAGCATGCTCCAGTGTTGCAACAGGGTCACCTCCTTTAAAGCACATTTAGTTTTGTGTTGTGGTTGTGAAATTTTGCCCAGCATACATAGAAACTTCAATAAATAGCATTAAACCATATATATACCAAATTAAAGATATCTTTTTGATATACTTTATTCTAGAAGATACCTCTCTAGAATCCTGGAATTCTTACAATGCCCTCATTGGGGTGAGTTTTAAAATGTATGCCTTTTTAGAAACCAGCTTTAATAATACAAGAGCAGTTAATGCATAATTTGTTCCTTAATATAATTTTGAATTCTAGGTCTCTAATAAAAGGGCAGCCATCTGTTTAATAAACCATTAATTTACAAAGGAGACAGTTAACAGTGATTACAGAGTTAGATACATCAAAACGACATTCTGGAAAATTAATAAGCAAAAAATTCAACTTTAAAAGTGTCTCCTTTTCTCTCTCAATTTAACTCTCTTATTGGTTAAAAAAGCAAATTAATTGTTAATAAAGAAAAACATGATCAATAATTGGAAATATCTTATTATTTTTTCTTATATTATTTGTTTGTTTTTTATAGTAGCTTCCACTGCTACTCTGATCAAGGAAAATTGTACTTTAACAGTACAAGGGGGTGCCCCCCCAAACAGAATTTATTTATAAAAAAATTGTTCATTTATTTTTACATGCTTAAACTTAAGTCACTTTAAAGTGCTCTTCATTTGATGCAATGCATACCTATCGAGACTTTTTCTGCTGCTCAAAACAGTTTTTGAACTCATTGATTTTGATGTCTTTTAGTGCTTCTGCCATTTTTTTGGCTTCACCTCTTCCACATCAGCAAAACGTTTCTCTTTGAGGCCTTTTTTTCATCTGGGGAAACAAAAAATGTCACTCAGGGCAAAATCAGGTGAATAGGGAGGGTGGGGCATGGGAGTCAAGCCATTTTTGGTCAAAAACTGCTGAACACCA